AAAAAAAAAAAAATTCTGATTTTGGCAATACATTTTAATCAAGATTTTTGGTGTTTTTACACATGGGTTCTGTTTTCCTGGGAGTAAGCTTTTGTGCATAATCATAAGAACTCTTTGTTCAGCATCTTTTTAAATTTTTTTAAATTTTTTTTTTTTTTGTCAGGGTTTCAAGCTTTCGCCCTGATTAGAGTGCTCTCACGTCACAGCTCACAGCGACCTCGAACTCTTGGGCTTAAGCTATTCTCTTTCCTCAGACTCCCAAGTAGCTGGGACTTCAGGTGCCCACCACAACGCCCGGATATTTTTTATTTATTTATTTATTTTTTGTTGCAGTTGTCATTGTTGTATTTTAGCTGACCTGGGCCAGGTTCGAACCTGCCAACCTCAGTGTATGTGGCTGGCACCCTAACCACTGAGCAACCGGCCTGCCTGTTCCGCATCTTTTTTTTTTTTTGGAGCTGAGCTTTCGCCCTGGGTAGAGTGCTGTGGCATCACAGGTCATAGCAACCTTTAACTCAGGGGTCCTCAAACTTTTTAAACAGGGGGCCAGTTCACTGTCCCTCAGACTGTTCGAGGGCTGGACTACGGGTTCCGGGACAAGCCTGCTGCTAAGTAGGACAGGCAATGGCGGCAAAAACACCTGGTGGGTCGGATAAATGTCCTAGGTGGGCTGCATGTGGCCCATGGGCCGTAGTTTGAGGACACCTGCTCTAACTCCTGGGCTTAAGTGATTCTCCTGCCTCCGCCTCCCAAGTAGCTGGGACTACAGGTGCCCACCACAACGCCCAGCCATTTTTTGGTTGTAGCCATCATTGTCCTTTGGTGGGCCAGGGCTGGATTTGAACCTGCCAGCTCAGGTGTATGTCACTGGTGCCTTAGCTGCTTGAGCCAGAGGCGCCGATCCTTTTTAACATCTTTTTAGAGAAATTTCAAATCTACAGAAAACTGGCAGGAATAATACAATGAACACCAATCTACCTTTTGACTAGATTCACTAACTGCTAAATTTCCACATTGCTATCTCTTTCTCTGGACAAATGCTTACCCTACCAGTGAACCATTTGAGAATCAGTTTTGGACATCCAGATGTTTCCCTCCTAAACGCATCAGCATCTGTCTCCTAAGGAGAAGGACACTCTACTACTTAACCACAATGCCATTAATACAGGCCATAATTCACATCTCTTTAATTGTCAAAGTAGCATCTTAAATGATTTATTCTCTCAGATATGCCACTTTTGAACTAATATCAATGAAATGGTTACTATATTTCTTGCATCTGTATTGAAGAAATGATTTTAATAACTATATAATCTTCATAACTATCTAATATAATCTTAAGTATATATTCTATGACAGATAACATGTTCCTTATAACAAATACATATAACACATGACATACATGGTGTATATGACGTGTGTGTGTGTGTGTGTGTGTGTAATGATCATGTCTAAGATCAGCTTTTGGAGCAGTATTGGCTAATAGTCTTATAGGCTACAGATCTCATTTCAAGGGACAACTTCTGATTAGAACAGGCCCAGTGCTGTGTGTCATCACGCTTGTTGCAAATGTCAGCAGAACTTGAAAAACACCCTGTGGGACTTCTGAAGTTTGTGCTTGTTCACCTCTACCAGTCAGAGCTCTTATCTCTTATTTTTCTCTTTACTCATAGACTCAGAAGCATGAGGGTAAACCTGCAGTCGGAAACAAAAAATCCAAGAGTAGATATTCTTGTGAAACATTAACTAAAAATGTATGGAGACAAGTGATAAATATGGGGCGTGTTCACAGAGTGTATTTTGAAACCAGAGAAGGGAAAAAATGACAGGTACAAGGTTGGGAATAGAAAAATGGAGAGGCAAAGGTTATTCATCACCTCACTATTCACTTGCCTGATCTTTGGACAGACTTTATATTTTCCTAGGAAAGCAAAGACTGACTCATTTTAAAAGCTTTGGGCACAACAGGCTTCCATGGGTGGGATATTCTGCCTAAGGTTGATAGCACAGTGTCTTGGAAAAGCACCCTCTGAAAGAGGGGACCCCTTCCCTGTAACAACAAAATGGGGGTGAATCCATGAGTTTTTATCTTTGATCCTGAAGTTTAAAAGAGATCCTGAGTACTAAAATGTGGCTGTCTCTTAGGCTGTCCCCTTACCTGCTGCCTGCCTTCCCTGGACCCTCAGACAAAAGTTCACTTCCAGCCTTTGCTTGGGCTGTGAGTCTTGCCCTCTCTTAGGCTTACCTTTATTTACCTTCAGTGGTTGAGTTCCCGGAAGCCTCCTGATCATAGCTTAGTGAGGGCTTAATTTTTTTTGTGGATAGTGTGCTGCCCTAGGTTCCTGACTCCTCTGACCTAA